GCCCAGCTGCAAACAGCCCTCATCCCCTCACCCAGGCTGGCCAGGCACCCAGGCGTGACCCCCACCCTGATCCAGGACACCCTTCAGGGCAACCCGTCCAGCCCCACCCGTGCACCAGGCCTCTATCCTATATAGTAAAAGGGTAATATGCCTCCACGCACCGGGATCAGTGGAGGCACTAGGCCTCCTGGCACTGGGATCAGCAGAGCCACGAGGCCTCCTGGCACCGGAATCAGCAGAGCCTCTCAGTACCGGGATCAGCAGAGCAGCAAGGCCTCCCAGCATTGGGATCAGCAGAGCAGCGAGGCCTCACTGGTCCTGTGTCAAGCAGAGCGGCGAGGCCTCCTGGCACCAGAATCAGCAGAGCAGCGAGGCCTCCCAGCACCAGGTTCAGTGGAGCAGCGAGGCCTCACTGCCCCAGTGTCCAGTGGAGCAGCGAGGCCTCCTGGCCCCTGGAGCAGCGTGACAGGGGGCAGCACCCAAACCCTCTGATCGCCCTGTGGCTCTGTGTGTGACAGGGGGCGGGGCCACAACCTCCCTATCCGCCCTGCTCTGTTCGTGAAAGGGGAAGGCGCCCCAACCCCCTGATCGGCCCTGCTCTGTGCCTGATAGGGGGGAGGCTCTGTGCTTGATAGAGGGGAGCTCCCCAACCCCCTGATTGGCCCTGCTCTGTGTGTGACAGGGTGCGGCGCCCTAACCCCCCCATGGGCCCTGCTCTGTGTGTCATGGGGTGGAGTCGCAACCTCCCCACCGCGCCTGCCCTGAGTGTGACAAGGGGTAGTGCCCCAACCCCCTGATCGGCCCTGCTCTGTGTGTGACAGTGTACGGAGCCCCGCCCCACTGATGGGCCCTGCACTGTGCGTGACAGGGGGCAGCACCCCAACCCTCTGATGGGCCCTGCACTGTGCGTGACTGGGGGTGGCATCACAACCTCCCGATCCGCCCTACTCTATGCATGACAGGGGGTGGCACCCCAACTCCCCAATCGGCCCTGCTCTGAGCCCGACCAGGGGCTGCACCTAGGGATTGGGCCTGCCCTCTGCTACCCGGGAGCCGGCCTAGGCCAGCAGGTCGTTATCTCCCGAGGGGTCCCAGACTGTGAGAAGGCACAAGGGGGGCTGAGGGACCCCCCCCCACCCCCCCCGCCAGTGCACAAATTTTTGTGTACCGGGCCTCTAGTATATATAAAATCCTATTGAAAACCTGTTCTTTGCTATATTTTATACAGCTTCCAACTGCAATGACCGCAATAATTCTTACCTGCAATCATATAAAGGTCTGAAATATCGGGTTAAAAGGTCCATATTTAGACCCATGCTAACTGCTAAAGGATAAGCAAAGGCCCTGCATGAATAAATTGCCCTATTTCTGCATTTCCCACTTCTACTAATCACTCTTTTTTAAACCTAAACATCATTAGGATATGATTTAAGGCTCAGTACTTTGTGGTGCCCAAGTCGTGTGTCCCTTATACACAAAAAGAATCAGAAGCCTGAAAGGAGTAAACATTCAAGTAATTTCGAAATCTGGATTGAGATGTCTTCTCTTACTTCCTCTAAGCTGGCCAAAACCGTGAAAGGCCTTTCTAATCACGAGCAGACAGGACTGTTTAAGGATTCCTGTAATCACCAGAGCCCTGTCCACAAAGTCCTTCCCAGCCACCACCACCAAATGAGTTCCGAGCAGCAAGTTGCCCCTCCCCTGGAGCTAGGGCAGGTTGACACTTAAGAGGAGCACCGGGATGCCTCGTCTCAGTTACTCGTGGGAAAGGGAGGCTCCCGGAAGGACGCGGGTAGGGGCGCAGGGAGGGAAAGGAAAGGATGTGGGCTGCTGGAGTGGGAGTTGTGTGGGATGCTGGGCTCCATCCAGCCCGGATCTACTCAGCCACCGCAGGGGAGCTACTCACACTTTGTACGGCAGCCGCGGGTCCGACGTCAGCGTGATCTTAAAGGAAACCTTGGACCTGAGAAAGAGCGGAAGAGAGTTAAGATCGGGCAGTGGCATCAGGATTGGGGAGGTTACGGGTAAACACTTACATGGTGAAGCGGGCATGGACTGAGACGCCAACTTCCTTTAGCAGTCCCACTTCCGCCCCGTCCCTAAGGGCTCCTCCACACTTAGGTCCCTGGCACGCTGGGGACCTCCAAAGTTGCTGTTGTCCAAAGCACTGCCTGAAAAATCGGCATCGGATGCTCATCTAGGCGGATTCTCCTAATTACAAATACCTACTGATTTAGCATTTACATATCTGAAAAGAACGTGTGGATTGTATGAAATTAATATTTTTACAAATGCTTTTATTTGCTGCCATATTTCTGTCAGGCATCACCAAGGTGAGTAGGACTTTTGGTTCTAGCAGGCCTTTCGCGGGAAGTCTGTGTAAGCTCTGGGCGGTGAGCTGGCCGGCAGGAGGCGGGGTTCTCCGAAGTAGAGCAGGTGCCCTGGGGGCTGAAAAGTACAAGTAGATTCTCACCGGACTGTAGTGTTAGCAGTGATACCCGTGATGGTGTACTGTAAGAATTTTACACCATGTAATAAATACCTGGCTACTTAGGGGCACTGACCTCTTTTCCCTGAGGTTGTCAAGGCCAACACAACAGTAGCCTTTTGATGTAAATGAGTCAAAAGTATACTTTTTAAAAAATCCAATTGGCAAAAAATATATATTTTTTTGGTGTGCCACAGAACTTTGGTAGTTTATGTGGGCCATGAGATGAAAACAGTTGAAAATCACTGATATTGGTGTCCTTTTGCCTTTCCAGCAACCTGATCCTGTTATATCATTTAAATTTTTCATATTGTTTTCTTTCACACTTTGTAATACTGATGTCAATTTAATTTGCACAGGTAAGTGAGTAAGTAGGTGAGAAAGACAAGATTCTGCGCTCAGCAACTTGAAGTCTAGCTGGGAAGATTTAAACCAGGGCACTGGTTGCAGATCATTAGCCACATTTATTCAGTTTAACAACACATTTTTAATTCTTTCCATGTTCCAAGCACTGAGGCTAAAAGCAAGAGATGTTGGGATTAATAGGAAAGGTACCTGCCAACCCTCTAGGATCTGTCAGAAGTTCTTGTATAGTGAGGGAAGAAGATATGTTTCCTCTAAATATTATTACAAATCTCAGCATCTGTGTTTAAAAATAAGCATCCCTATCACAATGTCTGCAATGTTCTTTTTAAGAAATATTGGATACAGATAGGCATTAAAATAATGAGGTAATCTAGTTAATTCTTAGAATATTATGTGAGATTATTTTCTTTACATTAAATCCATCCCCATGACTTATTTATTTTATAACTGAAAGTTTGTACCCTTTGAACTTCTTCACCCATTCCCCCAAATACTAATCTGCTCATAATATCTACAACCTTGTTTATTTTTTTAGATTCCACATGTAAATGAATCATACACTATTTGTCTTTCTTGCTGACTTATTTCACCGAGTATAAATCCCTCAAGAAGGTTCCTCCATGTTGTTGCAAATAGATCATTTTTTTATGACTGAATAATATTACATTGTGTGTGTGTGTGTGTGTGTGTGTGCGTGTGTGTGTGTGTGATGTGTGTGTGTGTGTGATGTGTGTGTGTAGATCAAATTTTCTGCCGGGACTGACTGGCAGACCCTGAGCATGGATAAATGATTATTCTGACACATGAGAGGGCTAAGGGACTGCTTAGCTTGAAAAACCGAACAGCCTCATTCACCTGCCTCCTTAGGCTTTTATTGTAGCAATAGCTTGAACTAAAATTAACTTCTAGATACTATCAGCAAGGTAAGTATTCTTGAGAAGACACATGCATCTGCAGTGTCCTTTAAGCAAGGACGTCTAAAGACTAAGCATAAAGATTCCAGTAAAACACCTGGGGGCTCAGACTTGTTTGGAAAAGTCAAGGCAGGGTCTGTCACCTTCAACAAGGTCCTCCAGTATCCCCTGACCTTTCAGAGATTTCCAAGCAAGTCCCGTGCTTCCCCACAATTTTCTTTAATGGATATCATGTTATGCATATTTAAGAGTTACGGGAATTTCATCTTTGCCATAATTTTGCAGCAAACTGCTCTTCTACTGTCACATCTCCCCATGAAAAGAAAGAAGATTCTGAGTAGGAAAGTAAGACTCCAACATTCTCATGAAAGTCTTTGTCATAGCTTTAAAAGACATAAATCTTGCCATATTCTAAAAAGAGATGTTGATTGATAGATTTGGGGATCAGCAGTTATAATATTAATAGCTGAAACAATGGGATTGGTTGGTGTGACTAAAGTATTTTAAAATAGCAATAAGGAGAAAACTGATTGTGTTTACCTGGTGACAAATAACAATGAAGAGATTAGAATACATGCTTATAGTTTCTATTTCTAAGAATACATATGATCTCACTCCACCACTCACCAAATGAGTTTTGAGGGCATAGAATAGCGGCAATGTTCAGGTCACACATCCCTGCACCCAGCAGCCGGGCCCGGCAAGCTGACACTTGTTTATATTTTTAAACAACATTTGCATTTTACTTTTATAGTTTTGTGATTCCATTCATACTAAATGCTTAACATAATACCTAGCATTAGCACAAGATAAATTTTGATCCATTATTATTCTCATTGCCCAGTGATATCAACACCCCTTCAGGATTATAGGGTGAGAAAGGTAATAGAACGGAAAAATCACCAAATTCAACACAATAAAAATATTCCTTTATTATTAATTGTTCAGGCTAAAATTTGTTTCCATATGAAGTCTTTGGGGTTTAAGATCCTAAGATTTATATCCCAGTGTAAACCTTCCAGGATTACATAATTGAACTAACTGGTGATTTTAGTCAGACATAAATACAATAAATTTAAGGTGAAAAAGTTTGGAAGAAAATTCATTTTTGCACCCAAATCTGACATGTTTTCTACTTTATTTAAAACTGTTTTACAGAAGACATATGATTTTACTTACATGTAGAATCTACAAAATGAAATAAACACATAAAATAGAAACAGACTCAGAAACAAATAACAGACAGTTATCAGAGGGGAAAAGGTTAGGGGACTGATTTTAAAAAGGTAAAAGGATTAAGCACTACAAATTGGTAGTTGCAGAATGGTCATGGAGATGTAGATTATTTTACACATGGCGAATATAGTCAATATTGTGAGAACCATGTAAAGACCAAATGGGTGCTTTAAGATTAGTGGGGGGACCACTCTGTAAGTACATGATTTTCTAACCATTTTGCTGAACATCTGAAACTAATGTAGAATAATATTGAATGTAAACTATACTCGAATAATAAAGGAAATAACTGTTAAGATTTTTCTTTTAATTCGTCGTATGTGTGTCTTTTTTATTTAATTTTTTTATTGATTAAGATATTACATATGAGTCCTTATCCCCACATTACCCCTTTACCCCCAATTCATGCCCTCACTTCCCTGGTGTCTGTGTCCATTGGTTAGGCCTATATGCTTGCATATAAGTCCTTTGGTTGATCTCTCCCCCTTACCCCCACCCTGACCTACCATCCATCTGAGGTTTGATGGTCAGATCGATGCTTCTCTGTCACTGGATCTGTTATTGTTCATCAGTTTATCTTGTTCATTATATTCCACAAATGAGTGAGATCATGTGGTATTTATCTTTCTCTGACTGGCTTATTTCACTTAGCATAATGCTCTCCAGCTCCATCCATGTTGTTGCAAATGGTAGGAGTTCCTTCATTTTTACTGCAGCATAGTATTCCATTGCATTGATGTGCCAAAGTTTTTTAATCCACTCATCTTCTGATGGGCACTTAGGCTGATTCCAAATCTTAGCTATTGTAAATTGTGCTGCTATGAAGATAGGGGGGCATATATCCTTTCGAATTGGTGTTTCTAGTCTCTTGGGATATATTCCTAGAAGTGGAATCACTGGGTCAGATGGGAGTTCCATTTTTAGTTTTTTGAGGAAACTCCATATTGTTCTCCACAGTGGCTGCACCAGTCTGCATTCCGACCAGAAGTGCAGAAGGGTTACTTTGTCTTCACATCTGCACCAGCATTTGTCCTTTGTTGATTTGTTGATGATAGCCATTCTGATAGGTGTAAGACGGTATCTCATTGTCGTTTTGATTTGCATCTCTCAGAAGATTAGTGACTTTGAGCATGTTTTCATATGTCTCTCAGCCTTATGTATGGCCTCTTTCAAAAAGTGTCTATTTAGGTCCGTTACCCATTTTTTTGATTGGGTTGTTTATCTTCCTTTCGTTAAGTTGTATGGTT